TAACCTTAGACTGTCTACTATTGACCTCACCCCTTTCCTAAGAGGTCTGTAGGGGGCGTGCATAAGCGCACCAACGTGCCTACCGTCTTTTATTTTTCTTATATGTACCCATTTCATGTATTCACAACTATGTATACACTTATACTTATTATCTTGTAAACAATTGGCAAATCAAATAAATAAATAAAAATAAATAAATGTTGACCTCAGCATTGGTGGGGCACTTCGTATCGGGGTCAACGCAGGCAGCACCATATCCGGGTGTGCAACAAAAGTACTTCCTAACGGCAAGCCCCCCCCTCACCATTCCCCACCATTTCGCATGTTTTAATATAGGCCTTAATTTGGGGGGAGGGGCTTAATTTCATTTCATGCCTATAAAACATGCTGGGACTTCCTATTGTGGGAGGCCATATTGTTGGAGAAACAGGATAGTTCTAAACAGACTTGCAAAGTATCTTTTGAAACCTCCAAGAATAATTTGTCTATCTTTCCCCCAAACCCCACAAAAGCTGATGGCCATTGCCATGATAGCCCAAGGATTTAATGATGTAAGTTAGCAGCAGCTTCAGAATCCCACACTTTCAGTATAAGCTGCTACCTGTGGAAGCAGTTATTCTGATTGTGTATATACTGCCATTTAGTGGTTTGTGGCAACCACTTCACAAATGCATGGCAGAACATAGGAGAATATAAACCCATCAGGGCACAATTCAGCAGTCCATCCGCATTTCAGAGACAAAGGTCATTCCTTTGAAGACAGCAAAGTCCACATTTTGGATAGAGAGGACCAGTGGTGGGTTTCAAAACTTTTTCCTACCGGTTCGGTGTAAGCGCGCGCTTTGCGCATGCGCATCAAACGCGCATTTCACACGCGCACAGCATCTGCAACTCACCTTTCTGCTGCGAGTCCTGTGGTAAAACAGCTGATGCGCGGCAATCCATTGTGCCGCATGAAGCAGTTGAGGTGGAAAAGCAGGAAATAAAGATCAGTATAGAGCCAGGGCAGGTGGGAAGGACCAGCAGCTGATCATCGGAGCAAACTGGTTCGCTCAGAGGTGATCCTCGGAGTCACCAGTTTGGCCAAACCAGGCCGAATTGGTAGAATACCACCACTGGAGAGGACCATTGGTTTGAAAGGGTGGGGTGGGGTGTTTTAAAAAGTCCATCTATGTTAGAATTGAACAGCCTTCCCTCAAGAAAGGGGGAAGAACACAACACCACCTATCTCCTGTCTACAACACAGCCCTTTCAGCAGTCTCAAGAAGATTCCACAACTATTTGCACACTGATTCAGTTGACCCTGAGGGCATAGATTAAACCCCCCCCCCCAAATGGCTTCAATGGCTCCCTCCCTCTCTCCCTCCTTCTGCTTCCTTCTTAAACTTGACACCATCTAACAATACTTTGGGGTGCAGAAAAAGGTTTCTGCACCTAAGTAGCCTGGAAGAAGGAATTGTGGCATAAAAACAACCCATTACTGCACCACAAAGGGCACCAGACTGGAAGTGGATCAAGTGCTGCAATCAATGGTTCTTTTTTCAGTCAGCTCGCTTAGTGGAGCTTCTATATAAAGAGGCAGTCTACATCCAAAGAGCCATGCCTTCTGTGTCAGAAGAAATAGAGAAATAGGCAGCTTCCTAAAGAGTTTTGGCTGGCATTGGTGTCTGTAGAAAAGATAGAGCAGGGTGACCTTTGGTAGGATTCCAAGAGGCCTGTCACCTCCTTGGGAATTCTAATAGCCGTGACTTCATCCATCCAGGCTGAACTTTCACTGTCAGTGGCCAGTTATCAGAGTGAAGATATCTTCCTGCAAGCAGGTCTTCAGAAGGGCTGCTGAACTCTGGGGGGACTTGCCCTCTTTTCGTAGCCAGCTTCTCAGGGGGGGTATTCCAAGGATAAAAATACCCATTTGGCTTCTTTCTTAGGAAAGGGAAACAAGGAGATGTAGTCCAGAGAACCTCCAACTCCTTTCCCTCTTACTTTTAATTATTGGCTGATCATTTTTAATCGTGCGGGATTGCACACTCCTTTTAACCCGCCATGAATTAGGCCTGTTTTCTTGGATTTGCCTCATTGCCTCAGTCTTCTCAATTGTGGGGGAAGGTATGGTGAGGAAGCTGGACATCTGTGAGCTGATGTTTAAAGTTGGTTCAGAGGGAGCAACACACCTAGTGTTGGATAGCAGAGCTGCGGTGCGGCAGTGGTTAGAGCGCAGTACTGCTAGCAACTTCTGCTGACTTCTGGCTGCCTGCAATTTGGCAGCTGGAATCTCATCAGGCTCAAGGTTGACTCAGCCTCCCATCCTTCTGAGGTGGGTCAAAAACTCGTGGAGCATTATGGTTGAAAAATCATTTGTCCTGGGATTGGGGGAACTAAGCGGAGTAAGGAAGAGCAGGAATGTCTTCAGGACTAGGGCTCCTTCACAGAGATTTATACAGAAGGAACGTCTCTCTTTTCCCAAATGCTCTCTTTGGCCCAGTGGTTAGAGCACAGGCCAAGACTTTTCTGAATCACTAAGAACTCCTTCCTACACAGGAGCCTTTTGGGAAACCTCTCGATTCTTTGCCAGAGATCTTAAATTCATATTGACAAATTTAGACCTCAGTTTGCCCAAGGTTCTAAAAAAAACATAGAAAATAATTTCTGATGTGAAGAAAGACCATTGTGCTAGAGGAACGAGGGTGGTATCTTCTCCTAAACAGAAACAATGGCACAAGCTGACCCCAGAGACAGAGATTTGTTAGGACAGCCGCAGACAAAGTGTGCTCCAAAGTTAGACTAATGGTAGGGAGAGGACAAATCTCAATCAAAATCAAGTGATTCTGGAAAATAGGCTTTAGTCCATTTTTTCCCCTTAGATTCCTTCCTCTGTGTTTTTAGGGATGGGCACCATGGGGACAAAAGATGAGGATGTTTCTGAGGCACACCACATTCAATAACATTTCCAGCAATGGTGGGATTCAATTTTTTTAAAACTACCGGTTCTGTGGGCGTGGCTTGGTGGGCGTGGCAGGCGAATTCCCTCCCCACTCCTGGGGGAAAGTTACTGCAAAATCCCCATTCCGTCCCCACCCCACTAACCTGCTTTCCAGTTCCGTTCTCCTGTGCAGGGCAACAAAAGGAGACCCAGCCGATCAGCTGGGACTCGGGAGGCAGAGAATAGATGGGGGAGGGGCCAGTCAGAGGTGGTATTTGCCGGTTCTCCGAACTACTGAAAATTTCTACCGGTTCTCCAGAACTGGTCAGAACCTGCTGAATACCACCTCTGGTTTCCGGGACTTCCTTTTGTATTAGCCAAGCTGGGAAGACATTGCAGAAAAGTGCATATCGTCATCTCTGTGTTTCGTTTTAGAGGTTGCTGGATGTGGCCTTTGGCCTCCTGCTCGGTGACCATCTTCAGCAGTCTCCAACATCAAAGTGTCTGATTTTTATTTTGAAGGAAAGGGCACAGAAGTCAAAGGAGCTTAGACAAACAGTTGGTTAATGCAAACATTCACAGAATCAAAGGTTAAAACTCCAGCTAAACATCCCACGGTGAACAATAACTGGGGGATTGTTCGTGAGGACAGGCATCAAGTACCATAAAAACATTGGCTTCTCACAAGAGTGTTTGTATTCATGTTCAAGTTCTGTATGTTGGAAATGCCATTCGAAAGCTTCCTCCTTTCAAAGAAGCTGGGATTTTGGAAGGTTGAGGCCATGTTACAGAGGGAGGATGGCTGCTGAGGCCTAGAGAAGAACATATCATAAACTACAAACATGTGCTTTGACAATCAGATTCTTACAAATGAAGGCAAATATATGCACCCAGAATAATGCAGGATCCAATCTCGGGTGGTTACCAGGACCAGCTGTTTAGTCTTCCGAGCTTTCGGACTCATGCTGGAACCCATCCTCAAGGGACTTCTCTGTACTTTAGGCTATTCTACGGATAGTAATTTGTTATGTCCCACCTTCTAAAATAAACAGTTAAGGCTGAAAGCAGCA